GGAAAGACAGATGATTTACTGAGTAGCGTTTAAAAACAAAGTGGATAACAAGAACGTTGCATATAGCACTGTGTGACCATTCTGGGACTCGAATATTTTACCTTTTCCGATTGAAATAATCAATAAGAGTTTTGACTTTGAAACTCATAAATAATGTAAATATTAGCTTGGAGTATAAGTATTAGCTTCACCGTTTTACAGTTATCACTTTTCTTTACTTTAATGTTAACCGAAACTGCGCATGAAACCATGGCTTGATATTTTTTCTGATCTCCAACCACTGAATAATGCTTCGCCATCAAGAAGCTGTTTTGATCATCAAATCAGGATAAATTACCGGCGAATGATTTCATTCCGAAACTTTTCGACTGTAAATGCGAGTATAATTTGCTTAATGGGGCGCTAGCCCAAAACTGTTTAATCCATCCAATTTTGTTCTAAAAAAAAAAAAAAAAAAGAAAAACTATTATCATGGTTAAATGCATGTGTAAATAATTTTCCTGCATTGTATCAGAATTGAATAAATTTGTATTCTGCTTTCCATCCTAGTGCAACCCGTTTTCCACTGAATCCACATGTTTTTTCAACTACCTGAATGCATCCACTAAAATTTATTGTTGAAACGTTTTTGAATAAATAAACGTCAATGAATGAATGTAAAATAGATGTAGCAATATGTGTAATTATCGTTGTCAGAAACTCGTACATTTATCTAGCCAATATTTCCTGAATCAAATAAAATGAAAATCCCGTTTCCGGATTGTATTCCTTCATCTTGCGGTGCTATTGACATCTATATATAAGTCTGAATCATGTATGAAATGAATAGTTCCAACATTTATCTTTTTACATATTTCTTAAATTGATTTTTTCTTTCTGCAGTAATCAGTAATAATGTCAGTGAATACATCAAATACGCCTGATGGACGTGGAGTACTGATCTACAATGGAGAAATGTTTGTTTTCATGTCTTTGTTTATGTGGAAAGCAAACAATACATACTTATTTTGTGATATTTCTATTTAATTTTTGTTTTACAAATAAAATTTGATAAATGAATGTGATAAGATGAAATATACGTATTAAAATAGTTAGCGGTTAGTGTTTGATCATTTTGTCCATTATTTGTTTGATAGTTATTTTTTTTGTTTGAAGGATATTGGTTTATACGGATGAGGTGGGCTGCCATTTTGAGAATGGACCGGATAATATTTTCAGAGGCAATAAATCCGGAAATTTATACCTAACCAGTCATCGTGTATGGTTTTTAATTTCATTTTTTTCTTTTTTTCGCTTACTTCCTTTCTTCCTCCACTTTAACTGTTGCTAAGTTGATGGGTCTGTTTTTTCAGATTATTTTCATTAATCGAAAGAAGGATTCATTGCGTTCATTTTCGATGCCTTTCCATTGCATGAAGGATGTGAAGCTTGAACAACCAATTTTGGGGTCTAATTTTTTAAAGGGTATCGCTGTAGCCCAACCTGGTGGTGAGTGTTTCGTAAATTTTAAGTCTCATTGCTTTGTTGGATGAAGCTAGATGATCTTCAGATGAATGAAAATTTTCCTTGAACTACAGTTGGACATGGGAATCATTTTCTTTTTTGCCGTGTTTTCTTTTTACCACTTTCTTTTGTTGCTTGCTGATTTATTAGCTTAATTGTCAGCAATGAGATGAATTCATTTTAGGTAATTGGAATGGACAGGTGACCTGGAAATTAACATTCAGTAAAGGAGGATGTATTGACTTTGGAATGGCATTGTTAAAAGCTGTCGACATGGGTTTGTTTGCTGTTTAAAAGCAAAATATAACTTTTTTTTTCTCTTTGTAGTAACAAAAAACGGATTTTTTATAGCGAGTAACTGCTTGTCATTTGCAGCGCAGCGCTTTCGTCCACACGGTGCACCACCAGTTTACGCTCCTCCACCTGGAAATTATTTTGCTGCACCACCAGCTTACTATATACCTCCAAGAGGAAATTATAATGGTTTCCAGGCTCCAACGAATGTTTTTCCTAATCTTCCACCAGGTATTCTTTCTTTTGTGAATTCCTTACACCTAGACAATACAATATTTCTTTTTCATTATAACGAGTAATTTATTCCAAAATTTATAACCGAATTAAATCATCATAGTTCTCCCCATATTTTTCTCACCAGTAGGAAGCGGTATACAGCTGGCAACATTTCGTTCCCATTCAAAGTTTTGTAGCATATTTAATAGATGGATGTTCTTGAATTAACTCGGCAGATTTCTGTTTTTTAGCTGGTGATGTTTATATGTATGAAGCTCCGCCGCCGTATTCAGGTATCGGTCCAGATCAACCACCGATACCAGCAGGGCAGCTACAAAATTATGGAGTCGCGCCAAGCGCTCCATCACACCAGCCGATGTATGCACCGCCGCTTCCATCTAAAAGTTAGACAATTACTAACTGTTCCAGTCGAACATGGCTTTTCATCTTCTGATCATTTCGTCTGTTATCCCTACTTTATTTTTATTCTTCATTCGCATATTTTGATATATACGTCATATCGTATATGCGCTGTTTTCTTCCGGACTTTTTATCACTTTTTCAGAATTCTGGGCCTTTTTTCAACTCTTTTTTTAGTATTTTGTGTTTTCAAAACTTTGCTTCCACTTCAGATGATCTTTTCTGTAATCCATAATTTTTGAATCCACGTTCTGACTTCGTGAATAGTTCTTCTGTCATTCCACATTTTTATTGGTTGCAGCGGTACTGTATTTTAATCCTGCTGTATGTAACAAAACTGACTGTATATTTAACCTTAATTTATCATGAATTGCTTATACCTATAATAAACATTGAAATTTGGAATTTGGGCTTTCTTTGTTGTTACAGGTTTATGCCATCATTTCTCTTCGGTTTAACTAAAATTGTCACATTTGTGTTTGAAATATGATATTAGGAGTGTTTTCCGAGCTGCAATTTTTGTAAATATCTAAGGTGTGTTTAATTATTCGCGGGTATTTATGAAGATTGAAGCTTGGAAATATTTCAGGTAGTGGATTTTTTGCTGATTTCAGGTCTTTTCAGCATAATTTCAACCTTCATCTCTTCTTCAACATTTTTGCGAACGGCACTCACTGATTTCCGAGTTTAATCATTTAGGTTAATGTCTCAACCATTTCAGACGCTGTAGTAGCAATGCATGCAATGTCCATGTCGTTCGGTAATGATCAACAGGAGGCAGTTGCAGCTGACGGAGGTTTCATTGCTAATAATAATATCATGATTTCTGATTATGATCAGGTTCGATGTTTTATATTTTTGAAGATGAGATCTTAAAGGTTTCCTTTACGATGCGAATTGTAGGCTATTGCTTATGGGATTAACAGTGTAGAATAGCTGTCGAATATTATATCAGACATAATAAAAGCCGTGTAAGATAAGGTGAAGAATTGTATTATGTTCTGTCGAATTTTTTATTCCATGCTGGTCTAAAAAATAAAAAGTAAAATAAAGAAGTTGTTGGTCCGAAAATTTTGGCAATTGCAGATGATGGTCCTTTCATGTTCAGGTTTTTAAGCTAACCATTCTATCGTTATGATACATCGTTATTATTTTCTCATTTATTTGCTTGTCTGTTTGTTTATTTGTTTGTTTGTTTATTCATTTACTTGTTTGTTTGTTCATTTATTGTTTGTTTACTTGTTTGTTTATTCGTTTATTCGTTTATTCATTTATTTATTTGTTTGTTTACTTGTCTATTTACTTGTTTATTCATTTTCTATTCATTTATTTATTTGTTTACTTATTCATTTGTTCGTTCATTTATCTATTTATTTATTAAATAAAATACTGTGTTATAATTTTTGGTGGGTGAAAAAAGGTATAAACTATGGAAAAAAATACCTTCAAAGTAATGTTTCAGAATTGCCAGAACAGTATTCTTAATAATGTAGCCGTTGAAGGGAGTAAATTGAACGAGACAGGCAATTATCAGACGGTTTATTCAGGTTTGTATTTGTTGTAATTTTATCAGTATTATTCACCACAGTTTTAATTTCTGCTGCAAGTCATTGACGATTGGTTGCTGACATTTCCATATTATTTAGCACGGTATGGTTTCTTTTTGAAACTTTTATGATTAACATCATCTTGTTATTGACCAGCTAATCTACTTTATAGTATCTAAATCCTCTTGTCATGCGGAACTCTTTTCAGAAAATCATTAGTTATGTAAGTAAATAAGGATTTTAGTACCAAATCCAGTCCCTGTTCATGACATTTCCATATTAGTTAGCACAGTATGGTTTTTAAAAAGGTAATATCATACTAGAAGTATGAGAAAAATGTTAAAGGCATAAGCTTCTTGATGACACTCCTGTAAACATTCGCTTCACCAACAGTTCTTTTTCTAATTTTATTAGCCACCTAGTATATCGACATTATTCCTCGCTGATTTTTACGATACTTTTTAAATTTCAATCGGTTTTATGAAATCACTGTGTTAACACCCAGAATTCTCTTCTGGTCAAGCTTTCATTAAGTAAAAACCCTCTGTCATTTTTTTTTACTTTTATCTATGGCGAGTTGAAAATTGATGCTTTCCATGATACCGAATGGGAAGGTTCTTAGCTGAAGTGTTATTTTTTCCAGAATATCAGTCATTAGTTGGAAGTTCAGTAGAGATGACAACGTCAGGTATGCCATCCGCTTCTGCACCAGCTTCTTATCAGCAATTAAATCAGGTTCATTTTAATTTTCAGAATAACCAAATGTTTGTTTAACTGCGGAATGCTCATAACATTGTGAACACTCCCACCTGTAAATCGAGCTTCATTAATTGCTACGTTTTATTAACAGTAGCATTCTTGATAGTTGTTTAGGAAGCCTTTTTTTGAATATGTTCAGCAAATTAATGGTTAGGTCTTGAAAAGTAGATACCAAAAGTTTTATTCCGGGACAGTTCCAGATGTCACCACAGTCAACTGTTGCATCAGCGAGCCAATTCGATCATATCACAGTTATGACAAATTTGCAACAGCCTTCTGATTTGTACACCGGGATCCCTGTGTCTTCAGTTTCTAATGGTTAGTGCAAAGTATCCAGTGACTTTATTCCAGCGTGATTTCCATATTTGTTCAAATTTTATAGTGAATTTAATATATTACGTTTACCTTTCACTTTTAGGAATAGCTTACACAATCCCCAATTCGACAAACACTGCCGCACTTCAAATCTATCCTCCGTCAGCAATAACGCAGCAAGTGCAGCAGTCGGTTCCAGCGCTGAATGCAATGCCTCCAACAGTGATGCAGAATCGACCGGATTATAGCATGCAGCGCTTACAAACGTCTCGCACCAGTAATAGTCGCACTAAAACGTACATAAATTAATTTTTGAACTGTCAAATTCAATCTTTTTCATTACCATTATATGTTGACCAAGCTGGAATACTATCTGGAAATCCATTTACCCAAACTGGAATCCACTTATGCTGACTAGTTTTTCCATTCATTATTATCCAAGTTGTCTATTTCTGTTTAGGACATATTCATCATTATTACCAGTAACTGGACGTGGTTCTAACCGACAGATTGCTAATATATCTGTTGTCAGTGATGATGGACCGACCGTACGGCAGCACTTGCAACAGCAACACAGAGCCCGCCTGCAACAGCAGTTGGCCTTGCAGGAAAAGACAAAAACAGATAAGGTTGTTTTGGTTTCTGAGAGTAAATCTACGTGATGATGTCATTCTAGTGATTTTAGAATGATGTCATTACCATCAAGTAGTCATATTCCATACCTCCATTGGGATCACCAATGCTCTTTCCTGAACTTAATGGTTCATCTGTGAGTAGCAAAATGAGCATAGTATTTAATGTATCTCCTAAGAAAGATTCACGATACTAAATATTTACTTGTATTGTTTAATATATCTGGTTATCCTCGGAGTAGGCTAGATTTCTTAACTTTTGACTTTTAGCCTTCAAGTTTTTTTTTGTCAGAATATTCTGGAGGCTTCATTAAGGTTCCAAATTTTGTCATAGAAATTTTTGCTATAAATCTTCGTACCCAAGTTTCTTTTAAATTGTTCATTTTCATCTACCTAGGACGATTTAATGACCGATTACTCGAGCATATTGTCACCCGCTGTCGATAAAATGTTACCGGTGTCTACCACTATGAATTTATCAGCCTCGAGTTCGACGAACATGCTTGTGTCAGCACCGATGAATATACCCGCATCGCCATCAATGAATGTACTCACTTCACCATCTATGAATATACCTGCCTCGCCATCCACAAATGTACCTGCATCACCATCGATGAATATACCTCCATCCCCTTCCATGAGTATTTCTCGGGTTCCGCAAATGCCACGACAGCAATATATTCCTCGTATGGCTCCTCAGAAACCACGAATTATGACAGATCGTGTTCGACGAATGCCGATGTATGATAACAATGGTACTATTTACTCCCCTCATTCTGCAATCACTGCAAGCAAATATTGAAGATCTCTTCTATCTACAAAGTTTTAGAGCAGTTGAGCTTGGATTCTACATTAAGAGATTTTGAGCCGTATAAGTTATTTCTAAAGTTGTTTCCGGATTGATTTGGACATTTCTAGCAGTATTATTTTGGTATAAATGTTACTAAACCATTTTATTTTTCCTTAAGTAACACCCATTTGTTTACTACAGTCTGGCAAGATTAATTGCTAAAATTTATCAGAATCGCCTGAAGCTGTTACTGTTGGTTTTGAATGTTTTTAACCTTCTTTCTTAGCATATCAACCAGCACCATCATTTTGCCCGCAGAAGCAACGTGCTGCTGAAATTCATGAGGAAGCCATTCAGCGTGCGGCTGCTGTTTACAATCAGATTAGAGGGCAGAAGTTTTCTCCATCTAGTGCTAATCCTCCCCAGGTTTTTTTTTTCCAGAAATTTAATAAATTGACGATTGCGATAAAATTTGTCAGTAGCTTTGCAATATTTTTTCATCGGTTTTAATGTTGTCAAATTATCAAGTAATAAATAATTGCAAGAGTTAATATAGCCTAGAAACACGGCATTTCCTCGATCTCCTGCCACAACAACTATTGCTGAGACGTCGGTTGAAACTGTTCAAAAGAAGTCACCAGCAAGAAAAAGGTATGGTCTTACAACAAACTCTTTTCCACATAAAAATTGACTTTTTTTGCTTCAGTTTGTTTAGGAAAAATTAATTTTAGCATCCACATAAAAAAGTAGGAATGAGACATTTTCTGCAGTATTCGATTCGTGTTTTGCACACAAGAAGTGAAAAAAAAAGTGTCTATTGTGTTATCGTTTTTTCTCTTTTTTTTTCACTTTTGTAATGTTCTTGGATGTTTGAAATGTTGGGAACGGTTCGTACGATAGAAGTTTCCAGATTTCTCTAACTGAATTAAAAATTGTATTTCTAGTCGTAGATGCAGTCGTAGTGCAATACTGAAAGAATTTGTTATGAGAAATGATAGTTCAGTGATCAATAATAGTGTTTGAAATGGTAGAATTTTGTTGAATTTTACAACGTTTCCTTATCAGTGATGAAGTAAATAAATCAAGATGTTTAAAAAAAAGGAGCGTGGAAAAGTAGGAACATGTGACCAGAGGACTCCCCTACCCCATCCCTCTTTTTCACTTAGATATGGTACCCATGACTTGATCTTTTAGTAAATTGCATGGATGTATCCGTTTCCTTTAATTCTATGTAGATAATTATAGTCGTTTATACTTGCTAGTCGTAATTACGTAAAAGAATTTTGAACGAAAAATTTTTTAATTAACATTTTTTGTTCAGTTTTTATTGATCAAAAAAAAAAGTGTTTGTCGGAAATTTCTTCTGTGTACCTACTGTTACTCGCATAGTTTTCAAAACAGGCTTTATTATGTGTCAACTCCGCCAATGATCTGCAAAAGCTATAGTCTGATTTTAATTTATTCCACTGATTTCTAGAAACCATTCGATGATGTCAGCTTCACAGGTTCGTGTTACCGTACTTGGAACGCAGTCAGAACCAGCCACACAACAAATTATCACTGAAAGTGACCACGTCTTACCAATTCATGGTATTGCTGGACTTCCGAAACAGGTCACTTTTATCAAAAATGTTTTTAAACTGGTAAAACGTATTTCCACTACGATTTGTGCAGAACTGAACGCTTAGAGTTCCAAGGGATTAACGAGTCAATTTATGAAAACAAATTGTTCCGCTGAGTCATCATTAAACAGATTTGCATGGTTTATATCACTAATTTCAGTCACGTATCGAAGTGACAGGTACAGGACCCGGAAAAGATGTTGTTCCTCGCAGCGGCGATGAGAAACCACCCTGGCAGTTCATTCGTACAACTAGCAGTGCTGTTTCCATTGGTACAACGCAGGTAAATTCAATTTAAGGTGTTTGGTATATTTGTTTTTTTGAGTAAGATTCTAGCAGATTTGTGCCTTAATGTTGCCATAATTTTCTTTTTGCTATTCTTAGTCAAAATTTTTCCATCTTGAAATAGGCAGGCAAAGTAATAAATCGCTAATCAGCATTACGCTATCAGTTTTGATTTGCGATTCTTTCCTATGTCATTGTGTACTGAGAGCAGGTTGCGCAGATTTTCAAAAATGAAATTGCTTTGTTATCTTATTTTTTGAAAATAAGAATTTATTTCAGACAATGGAAGACTGCTCGAAAAATGACGTTGGGATGGATCCTTCCAGTGCGCAGAAATCATTCTCTATTCAGATTAATAATAACTCATTCTCTTTGCCGACTGCCGAACCACTTCTTACCGAACGAATTGCTTCCTCTACCAATGGTTCAGAATTGGGCATGATATCTGGTGCATCTGATCTGATCGCTGCTCAGCCTGTACTAACTGGTTAGTAATCTGTATTGCTTCACTTAATTAGGAAAAATTATTAGTAAAAATACTTGCAGTTCCTCGAAAAATGTTCGAACAATTAGTTTGAAAAAGGTGTCAAGGAAATCAGAATTTTTTACTATTCAGTGTTTTTAGTGACAATTCATTTTTATTACCGGCAGGTGCTTTTTCCCTTTCAGCATTAAGATTTTTTTTCTGAAGTCATGTGGCGCTATAATCTGAATGTAATAATATAGGAAATGGTAGTCATTTCTCCGAATCATTACGTGAAGTAATGGCGCAGGTTGATGATGACGTAATAAACTATACACGTGAGGCTCAGTATGTTCGCAAACTGTACTTTATGAAGCGGCTGGTTGAATCGCTTGTTATTGTATGTTATTTAAAGTGGATTTTATTTCCCGAGCATCTATCACGAGTTTAATATCAAAAATTAGAATTTTAAGCGATATATTTCCACTGAGCCTTTCTTGTTTTCTTTTTGACTTCATTATATGTCACCACAAAGAGAATTTAAAAATGAATGTCTAAGATTCAATTACTGATTTTTATTGTATAGAAAAACGGTGCATTATGTGATGAAGTCTCACGTTTGAACCAGCGTATTCGAACTGTAATAGAAGAAAGAAGGTGAGTACTTTTTCTTTGTTGAATGAGACTTGATTATGTATGTAAAGGAAATGTGGAGTTCTTCAAGCTTTTATCTTTGCTGTTAGCAAAGAATTAAATAAATAACAAAAGAAGTGAACTTTGTTTATTTTCGCGCATCCATCACGAATGCAATATCAAAAATCAAAACGACTTTGTTGAAACCAGTAAAACAGCCAAAATTATATTTTACAGAGTTTTGGCAAAACGATTACAACATCATGAACGTAATCGGATTCGTAGGATTCAAACCAAGTTAAAGAAGGTGCCATTTAGAATTTGTTTTCCATTTTATTTAATTTCCAAATAGACTTCTCATTTAATTAAATGAAGGTTTTATTTTTCTTTCCTCTTGTAGCAAGCGGCCGCTCGTGCTACAAAAACTAATCAGTCGCAATCAACCCCTGCATCAGCAACGAGTGGAACAGAAGGGGGCTTACCAGCTGGTGATATTGAAAACTATGAAAGTGACGATTCTGATAAGACACTTGTTTCTAGCGGCGCGGCTTCTCCGAATACCAGCACGTCAGTGAGTTTTTCACAGGATTTTGTTGTGAGTTGAAAACATTCAAGTCTCTTTCGTTGAACGTGAAAGACTGGGAACTTCCTGAATATCCCATTGTAATGCTTTCCTTTGTAACTCTGGACTTCAAATAACTGGTATTTTAGATAATTTGAAGTTATTATAGAATTTTGGCAGTTTAGTGGAGCAGAATAGCTATTTCCAGATGTCTCGTGTCGAAACGCCGGAACCAGCTTCACGCAATCAAGAATTCATGTCGAAGGTGATGCTTGACAGTACCGTTGTTCAGGAAGGTGGAAAAAGTAAAATGAAAAGCGGTATGCGTCGTCATCTCCCAGCTAAACGTGCTGTTACTGACCGCAAAGAAAAAAAGGTTTCGTCAAACTAAAATTCTAGTCAGTTGCCTGTGATAGTTAGGTGTGACCTTTTGACGGTAGCTATAGTTGGTGATATTCTAGTGATCTTTTCATTAACTTATTTGTCAAATTATTTCCTCAATTTATACACTTCAATTTGTATGCTGCTATTATTAAAGATTGTGAATAGTATTCGTAAAGATTGTGAATAGTATTCGAATTTATAAACGCTTTATGGATGCCAAAGCAACACCATGAAAGCATTAATACGATATTATCATTATTTGAGAACTCATCTTTTTCCCAGTTCCTTAACACTGTATGATATTACGTAGTTGGAAATCTGTGATTGATTCAGTGAATTCTGTTATTCTATCAGTTGGCTGTTGCTTTGATGAAATATTATACTGAAATTGTATTTTGCATGATATTTAATCTCTTGCATTCTGTTTTATTATTCGTTTTGCAGACACTCTGCATTGTCTTATAGTGCAACACATTTGTATTGATATGGTCACCTAATGGGTGATAGTTTTTATTTAATTCATATTCTGCTTTTATGAAGCTCATACATGTAGTATTTATTGATAGTTTTGTACATGATTTTGCATAAGATGTACTGGTGCATTGTCAGTTTTCACTCCTCAATTAAACTAGCCATGATCTCAGGATTCTATTCTATCGTTGTTATTGTTCATCTGTATCTATAGAGCATAAAATATTTTATGCATTGCTCACAACTAATGTGATATCTTCAACATTTTGAAATTCTCACTGTAAACTGATGAATTTTGAAATAAGAGTAATAAATTGTTAATGGGGAACAATGGTCGATGTTATCAAGCGTTGAAATGGTTTTTCCAAAACTGACAATTGCAAATGAGAAAAAAGTTGCATTGCAATTAATTTCCTGCAAAAATCACTGGAACTAACCTTATCAGGAGCAAAAAGAAGGGTTTCTTTAGAATATAAGGGTAACTATTTTCAAGTAAAATTGAGTGTTTTAGGCGTGAATTAAGCCTTAAGCTGCTGTCTGCTTTGATTTGAAACTGACTTCTTAAATTGTTAACCTACGAATTTTTTACAAGAATTTGAAATATTTAGATACTTAAAAATAGCATGAAACAATATGGAACAGCAGATTTGATCTTTTTTTATTCGAAAGATCAAAAAATGAAACTTTGCTTTTGAAAAAAAACACTCGATTCCTGCTCATTTATTACTATATCATCAATTAAAATATATTTAAACCTCTAATTACAAAATACAATTTCAGTATAATATTTCATCAGAGCAACAAATCAACTGATAGAATTCACCGAATCAATTACAGATTTCCAACTACGTAATGTTATACAAAAATATTTGAACCTCTAATTACAGCAACTCAGTTTAAGCAATTTCCTAATACCATTGATCAGTTGGTTATGAAGTATTTGTGGAAGTGGAGCTAAAGTTACTTACTATCATATTTCACCCAGACAAAAGCTTCATCATTTAGCTTTACCAATTTTATCTAATTTTTAAATAAGTGTCCTGAATTCCGGAAATTTTAAAATGGATAATAGGACATTGAGAAATTAATCCTCTGAGGTATGCATTTGTTTTTGTATCATAGCATATAGTTTATTCATATGATTAGCGATGTTTGGATTTCGCCGGAATTACCATTTAGTGAATGACAGCAGATATAACGAGGGGACGATTGCTTCACCAAGTTCTTTGATATTCTATCACCTCTTCTCCTGGGTCCAGGACTGTCTTTTTCTTGAGTATCGAGAGTGAATCATCATCATCATTGACAGTATTATCCAAGATATCAATCTGAGTAAATGAGATAAACCATAAGGTTGTCCCGAAAACAATCAGCTGTCTTCAGTTTCTGGACGATCTGGATTAAAAATTGCAATTTTGCTTTGCAGCCTCACTGCAAACAGGACCAACCCCTGTAACAGGAACTGTATGTATGGAGTTTCAGATTAAACCGGGAAAGTACTGAATTTTTGACCTTGAGTTGCTTTATCTGAAAACCAAACTTGCAGATGTCCTCCTCAGTAGACAATCGTAGCATATAAAGCACTATCTACAAACAATGATACTAAACAATGTTGTTAAATATAACAAATATAAACATGGTTATATACAGCATAAATGAATCGATGGCATAAATGAATGGAAACTTAAGAATTCAATGAACAAATACCAACTAGTAATGACCCATTCAGTTCATATAACATTAAACTATTTCACTACCGATTTTAAAGATGAATGTGACACATAAAATAGTGAACATATCTGCTAAGAACAAAAACAAGATTAATATTAGACTCAACACAATTCTCGAACATGCTATTTTCAAATAAATATACAGGTCAATTTCTTAGTGACAGTTTTTCTGTTACACACTTCATCACTGTTCTGAATAAAGAGTAAGAAAGAGAATTTTCAATGTTCTGAAACATATACAATACTACAATACACTGAAATCTGTAAGGAAAATTCGCACCTTAATTCTCTATCCAACAGCTACTAGAAACAACGGCAAATGGTACGCCATAAACACATCACGCATTAACGATTGGTAAAGGGAGTGAATTCGCTCGTATCATCTAAATCATTTTTTACAGGTAAACAATTTAGGTAAAGAACAGATTTCTTACTAAATTTTTTAACGAAAATAACTAGAGTGATTAGGAAGTATTTATTACTTCTAAATTTTTTCAAAATTTACGAAGTGTCATTTCAGTTCTATCAGAATATTTTTAAAAATTTTCATTCTACCGGCAGTTTCTATAAAATAATGTTAAAAAAACCTTTAACAATACACTATTTAACAACATGCTTTCTCAACAAGTGCATATCAAGGAAAACTCTAAAATATTTATTGCAAACATTTTCAGTTCTTGCTTCCGTCAGATTTCGTCAAGGACATTAAATAATTACTGAGTTCACCACCCTCGATAACATCCGGAATTACCCATGTGTCACTCCCATCAAGTTGTAAACGATTACGACAGAGTGGACACCAGTCCTTCTCCATAGCTTTCCATTGTTCAATACATACCGAACAGAAAGCATGTACACATGGCAATACTACATCTGGTCTACGTTCCACACATATTATACATTCATTCGTGCTGAGAGCCCTGAAAACATTTATGAGGAAAAGAACCACCCTTATCAAAACACTACCACTTACTTATCACATTGTAATCCATCAGCTATTATGTATTCTCCTGCTATGTGTAAAGCCATCTTCTAATCATGGTAAGACCTCGAAATAATATTAATTAAATAAATAGTGGCAGTAACATCATTTAATAAACTAGTAAAACAGCTATAATTCGCATAATCGGATGAAAATAATTGAATAATACTAAAATAATACTTGGAAATAATACTTGCTAACCTGTCTATGCATGCATCGAGAACGCGTCCTTGAAACGGTGCTTCGTCTGTCTCATCGACAGCATCTTTCAGTAGATAATGTAGTGATTTCTGAAGGCTCAGAAACTGTTCAAATGTGAACACACGGTAGGAATCCGCCGATCTTGCTTTCATCTAAATCTAACGATGAACTTTAGGATAAGCTGAATATGATCGACACGAAAGCTCATGCAAGATACAAAGAGCATATTAGAAGAGTTGGAATTAATTGAAGTAATTTATGACGTTTAGGTTATTTCTTAGGTATGGAAATCTTATTTTCAGTCCACCGGAATAATCCCATCGTGAACAATTATGATGGTATTACATCTGCAAGCGACATTATTAATTGCTACAGGAATTCGAAACCATACGAAATCGAGCTGAACCGTTACTAGTTTGGCTCCTAGAATTCATGAATGATCCGGTTTGCTAATTATAACTCAAAGATACATAATAATGGATAAGCCTCAGAATGATGCACTAGAAGGTAACCCTTTAGCCTACTACACTGAAATTAAAATTTCATAAATTAAAAAAGTAATATACAGAGAGAAAAATAATGAACGATTACTTTCAAAGTGCATATCCTAACGGTAATTTTCCAAAGCAAAGTATTAGCACTGCCTTTTTTAATTGCAAAAAATAAATGTCTTCCATCTGAATCAACAAAATTAGCACACCTGAAAATCTTCATGTCGAA